ATGGTCTGCTGGGGTAATAATATAGTGCAAAGCGCATAGAGCCTGCTGCTGAGCGGGGACATGCGCTCTACAAATGCTATTTATTATTTTTATTACTGCCTTTTCTGCCTTCTTACCATTGGTTTTTTTGTGTATGTTTCCCTTTAAAATTCCTTCTGATCCACAATTTATAAGACTGCCTGCACCCCACCTTTTCCTACCCTCCCACTTTACTCACTATCCTCATCTCAAGTCTCCCTCCCCTCCTACCCTTCTACGTTCCCCCCTTCTTCACCTCGTCTTCCTCTCTAACCCCCCCCCCTCCTACAATCCAATCTGTCCTTCCTTCCTCACCTCTAGTCCTTCCCCCCTACCCTTCTACGTTTCTCCCTTTCGCGCCTCAAGTCTTCCTCCCCCCCCGCCCTCTCCAACGTTCCTCCCTTCCTCATTCTAATTCTTCCTCTCTATATCCCCCTACCCTCTAACTTTACTTCCTTCCTTCCTCACCTCAAGTCTTCCTCTCTCTCCACCCCCCTCCCAGTCGGCTACACGACAGACGACCTGGTGTATCGCTGGGAGAACAACGTGGACATTGACCCAGGGGTCACCCTCTCACAGTTTGAGCTGGGCCGGATCGAGCAGCAGAACATCTCCAAAAACAACAAGTTTGGTGAGTCACACGTTTGCTCTATGTTTTAAGAGTTTGGTGAGTAACACGGTAGCACATATTTTTTTCATGTTTTAAGAGTTTGGTAAGTTACATATTTGTTCATGTTTTAAGAGTTTGTTGAGTCACATATTTGTATAATATATAATTTGTTGCTCATGTTTGAAGAGTTTGGTGAGTAGCACGTGTGGTCATGTATGAAGAGTTTGGTGGGTCACACATCGAATGTTTAAGACTTTAGCGAGCCACACATTTTAATGTTTTAAGCCCAGATAGAAAAAAAATTACAGGAGAGAGGAAAAATTGATTCATTCTTTGAATAATTGCACTTACATTAAGATGTTTTAAAAAAAATTTTTTTTTATTTTGAACGTTTCGGATTTGAATGTTGACACAATTTTGTGAGTATCCCATACATGATTAAAATACGATAAGTGGTGGAGATGATGGTTTGTGCATTCGTGAACATGTTCTATAGACGAGAAGTTTGAAGTTTGAAGCTGACTGATTGATTTTCGAACGTTTGGCAGTCTGGTTTATTTGTTGGTTTTTCTGGTTTGGGTTGGTTGGTTGGTTGGTTGGTTAATAAGTTGGCAGATTTCCTGGTTGTTTGGTTCACTAGTAATTGTTGATCATTATTCATTTTATAGCTATAATTAATTTCTTGCCTCTATTTGGATCCATCATTCATTTATTACCACTTACCTGCC